GCCCGCCCCTCCCCGCCGCGGCCCCCTCGCCTGCACCACGCTCCGCTGCCCCTCACGTGCGCGCCCAGCACGTGCGCCGATGCGATGTCGCACAATACCGCGCGCATTGTGTCGAGCTGAGCGCTGGCCGTGCCGTTTTTTTGTTAATAAAAGTTACAACAAATGTTGTAAATTGACGAAAATAAATTTCACCGTGGTCGACACTTGACTAGGAATGCTTCGACGGCCAAAAATGGTATGTCGTTAATTTACGATACCGCTCGGGGCGGGGCCGGGGCGGGGCCGGGAGGTCCGTGTGACGCGGCGCGGGGCGTGACGTGGGTAGGGGTGGCCGGCGGGACGGCGGGACGGCTGGCGCGGCGGGGTGGATTACCGGCCGGGATTGGCCCCGCTGATTAGGGGACCTTGCTAATCGCGACGCCAGGGCCTCGCCCCCCGCCCCGCCCGGCTGCTACTGATGATCCCGGGCTGATGGCTGGCAGCTGCTATAAGAGGACCTCGACTCATCAACAACCGCCCCTTCTCTCTCCTCAATCGTCCCCCGTCCCCTGGTCGTGTTTTGCGCGTGTGTGTGTGTGATTTTTCCTTTTCGCTCGTTGTAGTCAACGGATTTTATAATGATGTCGACGTTAGTTATCGGATGACAGGACAGGATGAATCGCAAACTGAACAACGACCTCGTTACGTGATGTTTTACATAAAAAATACACGTTTTATAAAGTTTTATAATTTAGTTTTTCTTTAATGCAGTTGACCCATTAGACCGTGTAGTGATGACTGAATATTGTATGCCTTGTCAATGGTCATTGCAATTACTGTGCTATGAGGATTGTTGATGGAATTTTATCTTGCCTCCACAACAAAATACTGTGGGAATCAGTACTGAGGATAAAATGTGCACTCAGAAAACCGTTCTTTGTGGGAAAGAAATTTTATTTAGCGTAACGAAAAATTTTTGTAGCTAAAATCAACAAAGGTTTTTCGTTGGGACGACAAAAAAATTCGCTGTCCCAATTTTTCATTTCTTCAAACTAAAGAATTTGGTTGAACTAACGAAAAATTTAATTTGTTACGACTAAAATTTTGTTGATTTCAGCTACGAAAAGATTTGATCCACACAAAGAAGTGGTTTTCTGAGTGTGCGCTTCATAGCACTTCAGTTGGGTTGCCTACTGAAAACGAGCTCACTTCAAAATGAATTCACTTATGCTCTTTAGCCGTTCATTTATGAGATCAAGCGTCCTATACCCCTCAAAAAGGCGCTCTCTCGCACTACCTCCTCAGGCTCGTGAGGTTTTTGGCCCATTATTACGAGAAAAATCACCTTGTACCTGCTGGTACCGTTGCGCAGCAAGGGCCCCCAAGCCCTCGAGCTGTTCCTTTACCATGGAGAGGGCCCTTTATTTTCCATCTCGTGGTCTCTTTCCACCCCAACCCCACTCCCTCCTCCCCCTCACAACCCCTCCCTCTCTCGGCCTGGGCCCTGCGGCAGCATAGAGCAGGTTCGGGCGGGGGGATCGGCTCGACTCGGCAGCCGCTCGGGCGGTCCAGGGCTCCGTTCGGGTCCCTTCTCCATGCTTCGCCCGGGCCGCCTCGCGGATGCTGCAGTGACGTCACGGCCCTACGTCACGCCGGCGTTGCGACGTCACGACCATAGCGGGCACCAGCGGGCCTGCAGGCTACCGCGGCGGTAAAGCCCCTCGGCTAGCCGCGCCTGCTTGGTAGCCTCGACACCTGCCGGCCGGCGGCTCGGCGCCCCCGCAGTGTGGCAGGTAGCATAAACTGTCACCGAAACACGGTAATAAGAACATTTTGGGATTCAAGCAGATTCCTTGAAAACTGTCTTGAAAACCAAGCAGATCTCTTGAAATCCACGATGACACATTTATCGTGAAAGGCTCACACCACACTTAAAACAGGAATACAGTGTCGTGCGACCTTGCAGTTTATCACCGTCGTAATGGCACGACGGTCAATCCGAGGTCGATACCATTCGAAACGGTCGAGTTTATCATCGGGGACCCCGGGACGTCGGCGTCCCGGTCCCGGTCCCGCGGCTCTCCTGGGCACCATATCGCTCCTGGACGGCGATATATATTGTCTCATCGAACCGGACCGGACCATCCAGTCTCGGCTCCTTCCGCCGTCTCCAGCAGGTGGAAGTTTCCCGTGTTATTGCTCGCGGAAGCCACCATCCCTCTTCTGCGGCGTATTGAAACATCGCGCCCGCGCCGACCGAAATCCTCCCTCCCCTCCCCCGATCCGACCCGGAAAGACCACACACACAGCACCATGCCATACAAACGCGCGACCACAAACACACACACACATAGACAAGCTGCTTATCCTCATCTCTTCCCCTCCCCCCCTCTCTCGCCCACGCGCAACAAATTTCATTCTTTCGTCGTCGGCAATAAGTTTCAATCAAACTGAAGAATGTTATATATAGCGCAGAGAGAGATGAGGGGAGGGGTCGGGCCGCAGGTTTGGGCGAGCGCTCAGCGAGCGACGCCCCCTGGCATGGACCAACGCCGTCGCGGCCCAGGTGTCTCCCGCCCTCTTCTTTCTCTCACTCTCTCTCTCTCTCTCTCTCTCCCTCTTTTCCCCATGCCCTCTTTTTCCAGGTGGAGAGCCTCGACTTCAATTTGCCTTCCATACTGCACTTCATGAAAGGCGTGGGAGGATATGAGGATTGGGGGAATTCCTCTCCCTCCGACGACTCGTAGTGCATACTTGTTGTACGCTGTAAAAAATATACAGCATTTAGAACCGCTTAATAAATGTTCTATGAAATAACGGTTGAAAACTGTACAGTCTGGTGCTCAATCCTACGGTTTAAGGAAGGAAGTGTAGTGCGATCAGTTTAAATTCATTCTTGAACCGTAGGATAGAGTGCAGTGTTTCGTTTAAGTTTGGCGATGCTGACACAGAAAAGAGTTTAACCAAGTTTAACACTGCACTGTCTTTTTGTCTTGGGGACCTTCTAAAAAGTACGTTCGTTTCTGAGAATTATTCGGTCATTCGGCATATTACGGACGGGAGAGCTCGGCGCCTGCGAGACTCCGGGTAGACCAGCCCGCGGTACACGCGTGCACTACAGGCAAGTTGTTGCCTACCGATCAGGCGCTATGAGACCTTGCATTGGCAGAAACTTGGCAATTTCGTAACGGCAAATGACGGACGCACTTTCTGGATTATCCCACCATAATAATAAGGGTGATACGATAATTTAAGTTAACACGTTGAGTCCCAGGGGGAGTGCTCATTACGGGTTATTGTGACCATTCGTGTGGTCACGTGGGACTCAACGTGTTAAACGACGATTTTATTCACTGTTAAATGCTTACAGTGATTTTCACCGCAAGCTACAGTGAAAGCCTAGCACTGTATCTTACGGTGAAAATCACTGTAAGCTTTTTACAGTGTTCCTCTTCTTCAGAAAATTAATTTTCCGTTCTATGTCTCTTTGGTTTAACCCGCAAAGCCGTGCACGTTCATTTGGGTGCAACCGATAGCGCACAATAATGTTTATCGACCCGAAAGTTTCCCAGCCGCGCACTCTCACCTCACTTGACGTCCTAACTTATAACTTGCCCCAAAATGCTTCCACCCCCGCCCCGCCAGGGGTGGCGCGTACCCATAGCCCCGGGGGAGCACCCCGAGGTGTCACAGCAAGGGGAATATTTCATGAACGGCAAAGTAGTTTGTTGGTCGCTAAGGGCGAGCTCGGCCCGGTCCCGTGTCTGGAAAGAGCGGAGAAGGAAGGAGGGGCAAGGTAGAGGCGGGGCGGGGCGGGGACGTACGGGAGACGAGCCAGTGTCAAGGACGGGGGGTGCGGCGCGAGATGGGCTCGCCCGGACGGAAGTACGACGACAAAGGGATCAAGTTGGCGGGCCAGAACTCGCGTCAAATTTCGCAAACGGTATTTCCTGTTCTGCCTTTGGGGAAAAAATGCGGATGTATCGGGTCCTCAACATAGTATAGATAATAATGCCCAGCTCCCACGGCGAGGATTTGCGATCGCTCATCTCAGGTTTGTTTTCCTGTATTTATTATTTTCCCCTGTATTCGAGTTATGGTTAAGAAACCTTGCTCTTACGAGGTGAGATTCTTCAATCTCACTTCATTACAGCGTTCCTAAATTATCGGTGAAATGGAGCAAGAGGGAAAATCTCGCCCTTCTTCGGTGAGATATCTTTCTCTTGACTCTTTCATTTGCAGTATAGGTGTGTAACGCTTGGACAGGGTCCACTTACAAAAAAAAATAAAAATGGAAAGGGACACCGCGGGCACCTAGTGGACGGTCGCATCGCAGGCGACCTCGCGTCCCGGAGGCGACGGCTCTGCTGTGGGGCGCGCGAATGGTGGGGCGCACTACACACACGCACTACTGACCCTCGCGAAACATAAAAGGCGGGCATAATGGCCATCCCGGCCGTCCCGAACATGTTGCTTTTGCGTGTGAAATACACGACAAACCCACCCCACCAAACCCCTTGTCACTGCAGGACGTCCTCCCCACCCCTACCCCAACCCCCTCCCCTCCCGGCACCCTGCCTAGCGTAGCATCGACC